TGCGTGGCTGATGGATATAATGATTCGTGTTCGCTTATTGCTTTTCGCATAGGTTGCCCAATTGCAACCACTGAGGGGATTTGACAGGCTTGCTGCTGCAGGATTCTCTGAAGATGACATTGCGAACTTCAGGCGGCAGTTTCATAGTCAATCGTCATCAAATTATCTTGACATTGAGTTTGAGAACGAGGAAGACTGTATGTCCTCTTAAATTCACCAGAAAACATGCTTACCATACCTGCAGATGACGAACATGCGCGAGCTCTCGAAGAACAATGGATAGACTCTATGGATAATGTCAACACAGCCTCCCTTTCTTCTGCTTCCTCACAGAGTCTCATTCTCCGCGGGATTGTCATTGGGTTTTTCTTCCCGATCATACCATTTTTCTTCTTACGTGAAACGAAAGCCGCAGTTTTCTGGGAAGAGGGTGAGCACGAGAGTGGGGAGAGTGTCATATTTTCGTCAGTCTCTTTTTCTATTATGAATTCCCGTAGTCATATACTGACCGGTACACTAGGCGGCGCACACAAGTAGGAATTGTTTTTGGATTTTTAGTGAATTTGCTCTTCGGGATGTGGAGATATTTGCTGGACACGTCGTAGGTGTACATGGAATTCTTATCATTGGAACTTGTGGTGGGTCCCCGAAGACGCCCAAATCGATTAGAATTTACTAATATGGAGCTTCTCCACAGAGTTAGGCTGCATTGCAATTATCCATACACTGCAAACGTGGTACAATATTCCTATCGATGTCGTAATTTATCAGTGGATTATTCTCAGGCGGTTGCCAGACGTTGAGTGACAACTCGGTTTCCTCGACTCCTCGCCCAATAAATATTTGGGGGGGTTCCGAGTATAGACAAGTATCTATTTAAATTCTTGCAATGGAACAACATCGATAGCATAAGTTATGGTTTGGCTTACTTTTGGTGCACATACAAGTTACTGGGGATCAGACTTGACATAATGGTGCGTGACTCTTCTCGAAAGACCTCTCTTTCTGGTTCTTACGAAGACCGTGCAGATATGGATGCTGGGGTACGTGGGTACAATCCACGCGTGATGCCCTCCAAATCGTACATACGAAATACTGACTTGCATGATGCCAATGCATTTGGCGCAATACCATGTGTCAGGAAGATATCTTGTGCACCTATTATGAGTATCTGACTAGAGAGATCTCTGACCTCATCCTTCTCTAGGGTCGCACCGTGTTATGGATGATGAAACACGAATGATGCACCTGGTATTCGATTGAACGGAGAACGTTCGACGCCTACCTTAGTGAATGGCAATATCATACTTGCACACTACGAATCGAAGTCTATCCTTTCCCCGAGCAGTATTTTGCTTCACATGGCGCTGTGCATCGGCGCCAAGAAGGAGGTCACGAAGCCACTTCCGAGCCCATATATTAAACTATATGCAATTGACGCTTTGAACAAGCTACATATCTTGACCACAAGCCATCAAACTTCAATGTAGCGACAGGTAGGTGGTTGCTTGGTTGTCTGAACCTTCATCAACCGGTATGGTTAGGAATGCAGCTGCCTCTACGGAGCGAAACCAGATACCCAGCACGGAAGACGATGAGAAAGCACCTGGGTCACATCAATTTAGTCGAGTCTGCCTTTTAAAGGGCACGCATGAGTATGGCCTCAGCTCTATCCAGACATGCGCTCACCAGCTCGTACAAAGTTCTCTGAGAGAGCCCAAATCCGATATCAGGCGTTGAGCACAGGTGATGATGGTAGTGATGTGTGACTGATGCTGAGCGTCGAATTGTGACGTTGATACTTGACAGGCGAGAAACTGCGTGAGCTTGAGCCTGAGCTGCACGGGAGACGGCACTAGTAGCAGCACATGCTGGCGCTCAGATGCCGAAGGGATAGCAGAAGCTGTAGAACTGTTCCACTGGCGAAAACTCATATAATACTAAACTCACAGTATGATGCATGAATTTCAAATACGATGACCTAGACACCCGTTGCTTGAGGACTGCTCAACATTTGTACAGCATTGCACTGCAGGCGCCTGTCCTCCGGCGCTAAAGCAGTACTGCGGTCCGATGAAAATACGTATAATTATGTTTTAGAACAAAAGGTTTGAGGACGGGCAACGGAGGAGCAGGGTACATATTGAGGAATTTGAAATGCTAGAGATGTGAGGTTGCTGGAGTACTACTCTAACGAATCACCAAGTCACAGGCCAGATTTAGCATCTCATTTGGCAGTTCGTTCCTGATTTGATGCTTATTACAACGGGGTGTAAACGAATCCAGTTGTATCGAACTGCCTCATTTTCGAACTGAATCGAACTCACCTCGAGGTCACCTCGATTCGACAGCAACACTAATTGCCGTTGTAGGCCTAATTATCGATTAGCTAGCCAACAAGCCGGTCAGCAACCACGTTGAAATGGATTCACGTAGCATGATACGTCTTTCATCTCTGTCGTCCTCTCATACCACCATGATTCCACCGCAGGATGATGACGAGGAAACACCTTTTCTGCAACGACCAGACTCACCAGAGCAGCCAACGACCAAGACACCTCTTCCCTGGGATCAATTTTGGCTTCTACTGCTCTTGGAGATACCAGATTTTCTTTCTTCTCGGACCCTTGCTCCGTTTATTCCCCAAGTGAGTAGTATATTCCCTTCGCTGGACTTGTATCTGATCACAACTGGAACTTTGTCCAGCTCATTAGAGATATTGGAGTCACTCACGGAGACGAATCCCAGGTTGGTTACTATGTCGGCATCCTTGTAAGCATGTCTTCATCGCTCTTACCCCTTTATTCGTAGCTAATATTCTCTCGAGCAATCATCATCTTCTGCAGCTCATGCCCTGACTATTTTTCATTGGAGTCGACTGTCCGACCACATCGGGCGGAAGCCTGTGATGCTGACAGCTCTATCAGCAATTTCTGTCTCGATGTTTTCGTTCGGGCTGTCGAAGACCTTCCTTGGTCTGGTAGTAAAGTCAGTGTATTCAGTTAAATATCAATTAGTAGTTGTGATCGTCAATTACTTGACCATAGTCGTGTTATCTGCGGAGCATTTGATTCGAGCGGTGCTGTTCTCAAGACCTTGGTGATGGACATTACTGACACAACCAATATGCCCAAGGCATACGGTTATACGCCAATTCCGGTGATGATCGCAACCACAGTTGGGTAGGCATACAGTACATTTTTCCTCGCGCTAAGGTTCACGGCATCTACTAGACCACTCATTGGGGGATTGCTCTCCCAACCAGCAGACAGATTCCCCAACATCTTTGGCCGATCAGAACTCCTGAGAACCTACCCATATCTCCTGCCATGCTCTATGTCGGCATTTTTCATATCGATCATTTGGCTAGTCGCGTATATTTGTCTTAAAGAGGTGAGCGCGATGCTGAAAATCCATCTCTGGATCACACTAAGTGTGATCACAAGAGCGTTTCTACCAGGACACCGCTTTGGGAGCTAATTAAAAGAGGATTCTATGGACAGTCATGCTCAAAGCCTCGCCAGTCATCGAGCAATGTTATATTCGATCCTGCGAATCCTGGAGAAGTCCAATCAAAACCGCTTCCGCTGCGCGCCTTGCTAACCTCGAAGGTGTTGAGTGTGACAGCGAGTTATGCCACCATGGGCCTGTTTCATATGGCGTTCAGTTCAGTCTTACCTGTTTTCTATGCGACACCGATTGAACTTGGTGGTCTTTCCCTTGACCCTCCTCGCATCGGTGTTTTACTTGCGGCATCAAGTATCATACAAGGCATATTCCAGCTACTTTTCTACGCTCGTTTACATGATCGCCTCGGTGCAAGAGCTATCTTTATCGCCGGTGTTAGCTCCGGCATACCCATCGTGATTTTATTTCCAGTGATCAATGCTCTGGCTCGAGCCCATGGAATAGGTATGGCTGTGTGGCTGTGTGTTGCCGTTCAGCTTATGCTGAAGACTAGCCTGATCCTGTGCTTCCGTATGTTAATCCAGCACTTCCTGCGTTCTGTTGAACTGACAAGAATTCGTAGCCTCTATGATATCATTAATCAGAGCAGCTTCTCCCAATCGCGCCTCGCTCGGAGCAACCACTGGAATCGCGCAGGTGGCTCTCGCAGTAGGAAGGATCGTTGGCCCGGTGTCTGCGGCTTCAATCTTCTCTTATTCACTGCAGGAAGGGCATGATGCGTGGTTGATATATTACTTTTTGATCGCGATTGTATTTCTCGCTGTAGGTACTGCTCTATTGCTTCCCCGTTATCCTAATGTATGAGAAGATTCCCGATAATATTATAGTGTGCATTATGATCTAGTGTAGGTTGAGTGTAAGAGGCAGAACCAACAAAACTCTACTAATTCTTGCAAGTTCCTTGGAATAATCTTGCATTGCAGATGCTCTCAAATTGGAAGGTACACGGGGCAACGTGCGTAATAGAGGGTGCTTACTTTTACGTTTCTGACCCCGGCTGCTAACATAGCCTAGCTATTACTGTCTGGAACTTGGATGCTTATTCTGTAAACTGCCGTACTCTTATCGACGAGCTAGCAGCGACCGCCGACTTCGTGGAACAACTTCTCATCTAATAAGCCCGAATCCCCGTTAACGTTGCGTTGGCGTGTGTTTCGCCGGACTGGGCAGACCATAAGTAAACGAATAAGTCATCGGACCTGTGGCGCCTGCGAATAACAAATAGGTACGCGCGCAGTGGCATGGTCACCACATATACTTACGGTCGACGTGCAATGTGCCTCATGCTGTAGTATGTCCTCTGTAGCATGTCCTCACTTGAAATCGTTCAATGTCGTTGATTTAAAGGGCATTTTATTATTATGTCTCCTCTACCTCGCGTGGGTGCTGAGCGCTGACCTTCTAACCTAAAGTCAGTCAGCCAATGATAAGCCCGAGATCCTGGCGACAGTGCGAACCCCTTGGCCAGTGGCGGCTATACCCGGGTGCTACATAATAGGAAGTGCCGTGTGACTCTACTATGTCAACTGATTAGCAAAAGCAGGTTCTTGTGGACGGCCATTGTAGGCTTTATCGCTCAGCAACCGCCTCATTAGAAATGACTTCACGTAGTATAACGAACTGCATCTTTTATCCAAGTCATTCCCTCGCACCACCATGATTGCGCCACAGAATGACGAGGAGACACCTCTTTTGCAACGACCAGAGCAGCCAACGGCCAAGACACCTCTTCCCTGGGATCAATTTTGGATTCTACTGCTCTTGGAGATGCCAGATTTTCTGTCTACTGGGACCCTTGCCCCGTTTATTCCTCAAGTGAGTATATTCCCTTCGCTGGACTTATATCTGATCACAACCGGAACTTTGTCAAGCTCATCAGAGACACCGGAGTCACTCACGGAGACGAATCCCAAGTTGGACACTACGCCGGCATCCTTGTAAGCATGTCTTCATCGTTTTTGCCCTTTCCTTCGTTCATGATACTACTCTCTCTAGCAATCATCATACTATGCAGCTCATACCCTGACCATCTTTCATTGGAGTCAACTATCTGACCACATCGGGCGGAAGCCCGTAATACTGACAGCTCTATCAGCAATTGTTATTTCGTTGTTTTCGTTTGGGCTGTCGAAGAGCTTCCTTGGTCTGGTGGTCAGGTCAGCGTGTCCAGTTAAATGTCAAATAGTAGCTGTGACCATCAATTCCTGACATTCTCGACCAGTCGTATTGTCTGCGGAGCATTTGATCCGAGCGATAGTATAATCAAGAGCATGCTGATGGACATCACTGACGCAACCAATATGCCCAAGGCATACAGTTATATACCAATTTCGTTGATGATCGGAAACTCAATTGGGTAGGCATACAGTACACTTGATCTCGCACTGAGGTTTACGTCATCTACTAGGCCACTCATTGGGGGATCGCTCTCCCGACCAGCGGACAGATTCCCTGATATCTTCGGGCGATCGGAACTCCTGAAAACCTACCCATATCTCCTGCCATGCTCTATCTCAGCATTTTTTGTATCGATAATTTGGCTAGTCACGTATATCCGTCTTAAAGAGGTGAGCGCCTGAAAACCCATCTTTGGATCACTCTAAGTGTGGTTACAAGGGCGTCTCTACCGCTAGCAAAACACCGCTCTGGGAGCTAATTAAAAAAGGATTCTTCGGAAAATCATCCTCGAAGCTTCGCCAGCCATCGAACAACGTTATAGTTGATCCTGCGGAAGGGAGTCCTGGAGAAGTTCAACCAAAGCCGCTTCCGCTGCGCGCCTTGCTAACCCCGAAAGTGTTGAGTGTGACAGCGAGTTATGCTACCATGGGCCTGTTTCGAACGGGGTTCAATTTGCTCTTGCCTGTTTTCTATGCGACACCGATTGAACTTGGTGGTCTTTCCCTTGAACCTCCTCGCATCGGTGCTTTACTTGCGGTATCAGGTATCATGCAAGGCATATTCCAGCTACTTTTCTACGCTCGTTTACATGATCGCTTCGGTGCAAGAGCTATCTTTATCGCCGGTGTTAGCTCCGGCATACCCATCGTCATTTTATTTCCAGTGATCAATGCTCTGGCTCGGGCCTATGGAATAGGTATGGCGGTATGGCTGTGTGTTGTAGCCCAGCTTGCACTGAAGACTAGCCTGGTCCTGTGCTTCCGTATGTTAATCCAGCACTTCCTGCGTTCTGTTGAACTGAAAAGAACTCATAGCCTGCATGGCATTACTCATCAGAGCAGCTGCTCCCAATCGCGCCTCCCTCGGAACAACTAATGGAATCGTTATGGTGGTTGTCGCAGTAGCAAGGATCATCGGCCCGGCATCTGCAGCTTCAGTCTTCTCTTATTCATTGCAGGAGGGGCATGATGCGTGGTCGATATACTACTTCTTTATGGCAATTGCGTTTCTCGCTGTAGGTACTGCTCTATTGCTTCCCCGTGATCTTGGTGTATGGGAAGATTCCCAATGATATTATCATGACTGTGTACATTATGATCTAGTGTAGGAGGCGGGACTGGCAAAATTCTACTATGTAGCCTATACTAGATGGTCCCACGAGTCCGTGTGTCCCAAGAGTCCGCGCATTGACTCTAGCACACGCAATTCTGCACAGAATCCTTATCCATGATAGATCTGGATTCGCCCAAACATAATACACACTCCCATATATATATTTTGAAGAAAATCGAAGTAGATCTTGTTCCATGGGCAACTTATCAGTGCGAGAGGCATAGAAGGCTCACTCTAAAGGTCAGATCTCCACATATAATTCTGGAATATTGTGAGATGGTTATATACATGATTAGAGAATACTAAAACAAATTTATTCGGGGCACATGCTTGTCAGGATCATCTGCGATAAAGAAATAAGCCCCAGACGTGACAATCTGCCCAAAGCGTTACATAGAGACTGTGTAATCAAAACTCCGCAATGCCGAAATGCTTTACACATGCACAACTTCACAACATTTAAACGGTGCAAATTCTGCGGAGCGTGAAAAGGCATTGCGGCAGACGTGTGACATAGTGTGACGAAGTGCGCGAACTCTAGGGAAAATGCACTTTTCTGCGCGGTAACTCTCCGCTGGACTCAACACGTCAATTTTCGAAAAAGAAACTAGCAGACGTTGTACTTTCGATGTCACGCTATCGAACTGTCAAATAATTAATTTTGTTTGTTTGTGCGATGTGGAGTAATAACCGTTTTGCCAAAAAGGCGCGAACTCCCGTGGACATCTAGTACCCTTGCAAGTGAATTGCATCGCAGATGGCCGGGCCAATATTTACGGCTGAATATTGTCTAGATTTGGAAACATTGCAAAGAACATGGAAATTTCCGACAATTATTTGGGTTTAATTTTATCGATACTAAGCTAATGGGTCGCGTGATTCCCAGCGTCGTAGCGACTTTGAGTCTGACTCAAATAACTTCCACTCTAACTTTAAGTGGGCGTGTTTCGGTTCTGGCCATTAGCAGCCGTGGTCAGTGCACCTTTCACGTGTCAGGGATTGTTAATACCTTTTTTCAGGCTGGAGTCCTTCTTTGGCGACTCCGGTTAGTTGAGCTTGCCATCTCTCCAACCTTCCTCGTCGCTTCACTAGGTAAGCTCTTAGTTTAATAGCCTGATATTCATCTTTCTAACCTTTCACGTCGCTTCGCTAGCTACTTTTTGAGCACCCACCACTCCCACCATCTCGGTATTAAAGCTGAAGCGCTCGTTGCGGTCGTTTCCTTCCGTTTCGGGGCTAGGTTACTTATTTGCGACATCGTCACCTGTTAGTCTTCAATAGCAGTGGGCTCCTCGACGCCTTTTGAGGAGCCGAATTTGGCTATCCCGGTGTTCGTACGCCTTCCTAAATCCTGCCAGGCCCATTAGGCGTCAGTCCAATCGTTTACCGTCGCATTTTGTTTATGTCTCCTCTATTTAATCTCACCTCGTGTGGGCGCAGGCCTTAAGATTGTGAATGTTAGCTAGCCATAATAAGCCTGAGATCCTCTGGGCGATAGTGCGAGTACCTACCCCCTAGCCACGGGCGGCCATACCTGGGTGCTACACGCCAATTACCCGTACAACGCGATCAAGTATACGGGGCAATATTTGTGCGTACTAAGAGGTACTTGATTTTACGTATTAAGCTTGTTCTGTAGGCTGCCGTACTCCTTATCGACGAGTTAGCTGGTACCAGCGACGTCGTGGAACGACTTCTCATCTAATCAGCCCGAACCCCCGTTGTGTTAGCACTTGTGTACACAGTACAGTGCGCCACCAGATAGGCAGACCATACATGAATCAGTCATCAGATCTGTGGCGCCCGATAAACAGGTACATGATGAGCCAATGATAAAGCTAAAGTGACGGCTATACCCGGTGCTAGCTGCCGTGTGACTGATTCTGTCTCAACTGATCAGGTTCTTGTCGAGTCGGACTGCCGTTGTACTAGATTAGCTAGCCAACAAGCTAATCCGCAATCACCTCATTGGAACGACTTCACGTAGTATAACGAGCTGCATCTTTCATCCAAGTCATTCCATCGCACCACCATGATTGCGCAGCAGAATGACGAGGAGACGCCCCTTCTGCAACGATCAGAGCAGCCAAAGGCCAAGACACCTCTTCCATGGGATCAACTTTGGATTCTACTGCTCTTGGAGACGCCAGAATTTCTTTCTTCTCGGACCCTTACCCCGTTTATTCCTCAAGTGAGGATATTGTGTTTGCTTGGACTTATATCTAACCACAACTGGACTTTGTCAAGCTCATTAGAGACATTGGAGTCACTCACGGAGACGAAACCCAGGTTGGACACTATGCCGGGATCCTTGTAAGCATATCTTTATCATTTTTACCCTTTCGTTCATCCATGATACTATTCTCTCCAGCAATCATCATACTATGCAGCTCATACCCTGACTATTTTTTATTGGAGTCAACTGTCCGACCGCATCGGGCGGAAGCCTGTAATACTGATAGGTCTATTAGCAATATCTATATCGACGTTTTCGTTTGGGCTGTCGAAAACCTTCTTCGCTCTGGTGTTCAGGTCGGTGTGTTCAAAATAGTAGCTATGACCATCAATTCCTGACATTCTCGACCAGTCGTGTTGTCAGCGGAGCATTTGATGCGAGCGATAGTATGGTCAAGAGCACGCTAATGGACATCACTGACGCAACCAATATGCCCAAGGCATGCAGTTATGTACCAATCCCGTGGACGATCGCAACCGCAGTTGGGTAGGTATACCGTACATTATCTCTTGCACTTGAGGTTGACGGCAGTCAGATCACTCATCGGGGGATCGCTCTCCCAACCAGCAGACAGATTCCCTAACATTTTTGGGCGATCAGAACTCCTGAAAACCTACCCATATCTCCTGCCGTGCTCTATTTCGGCATTTTTCATATCGATAATTTGGCTAGTCGTGTTTATCCATCTTAAAGAGGTGAGCGCGATGATGAAAACACATCTCGGGATCCCACTAACTGTAGTTACAAGAGCGCTTCTACCAAGACACCGCTTTGGGAGCTCATTAAAGGATTCTTCGGACAGTCATACTCAAAGCCTCGCCAGCCATTGAGCAATGTTATAGTTGATCCTGGCAAAGTCAAATCAAAGCCGCTTCCGCTACGTGCTTTACTAACCTCGAAAGTATTGAGCGTAACAGCGAGTTATGCCACTACAGGCCTGTTTCAAATGGGGTTCTATTCGATCTTACCTGTTTTCTATGCGACACCGATTGAACTTGGTGGTCTTTCCCTTGACCCTCCTCGCATCGGTGCTTTACTTGCGGCATCAGGTGTCATACAAGGCATATTCCAGCTACTCTTCTACGCTCGTTTAAATGATCGCTTCGGTACAAGAGCTATCCACATCTCCGGCATCAGCTCCGGCATACCCATCGTCATTTTATTTCCGGTGGCAAATGCTTTGGCTCGAGCCTATGGAATGGGTATGGCGGTGTGGCTGTGTGTTGCCGTTCAGCTTACGCTGAAGACTAGCCTGATCATGTGCTTCCGTATGTTAATCCAGCAATTCCTGCGTTCTGTTGAACTGACAAGAATTCATAGCCTGCATAACATTATTCGTCAGAGCAGCTGCTCCCAATCGTGCCTCGCTCGGAGCAACCAACGGAATTGCCCACATGGCTGTTGCGGTAGCAAGAATCATCGGCCCGGCGTCTGCAGCTTCGGTCTTCTCTTATTCGTTGCAGGAAGGGCATAATGCATGGTCGATATACTACTTCTTGACCGCACTTGTATTTCTCGCTGTAGGTACTGCTTTATTGCTTCCCCGTGATCCTAGTGTATGGGAAAATTCTCAATAGCGAATGACCGCGTGTTATGATCTAGTGTAGGAAGTAGAACTGGCAAAACTTTAGGCTATGTAGACTAGTATGTGTACAACATTCCGTACTCCCATGATAAGTTAGGGAGGGTTCTGTCTGCAGCAAACCTTTGTGCTATTCTCTACAAATCCATCTGTGGGAAACTGGCTGTCGTACATGTATGGCATCTTGTCCAATGAAAACAAGCTGGATGCAAAAACAAAAGCCCTTCTCAAATGTGAAAATCCTATCTAGTATATCAGCTAATGATGTGGGAAAGTTCCATTATATCATCGGCTTCAGTCATCCACTGTTTGTCCTCGTTTTTATCCTCATGTTCAGTTTCGTTGACCAGGTGGAAACCGGAAAGCATCATGGACAAACATACCATTACTGAGATTATGACGCTGGCTGGCTGGCTGGAAATCCAAAATGTTCAATCCTCAAGATATAAACGAGGCTCTCGCTGTACTGTCTCAGAGATCTGGGCTCGACATTTATTTCGGTCCCCCCAATGCTGTCTCTTATCTCGAAAAAGGAGTAGCTAGTCACCTGCGCATATACTTCTTGGCGACCGAAGATAGGTCGTGGGCATTCACCGGTTGTCCATCGGAGTCCTTTCTATCTTGCATTGCAGCGATTCTACTCCATGGGACGTCCAGAAGCCTGGTAAACGCTTTGGAAGGCAAAGGTTAATGATGGGATGGTCGAATGTGAGAGCTGCCCAGCAGAATTTTGCTGCTTCTTGCCAAGGACGTGTATGCTCTCATTAATCTCTCCATAGACACGATCTCGGATCTACGCTATAACGGATGCGAGGATGCGGAACTGATGCACTGCCAGAAAGTCTTCGTTGTCAATTTCCTGGAATACCTTTTTCGCGGAGAGTTCCGGTCGAAGGCGGGTGAGAAGGCCAAGACAACTTTTCAGCATGCCTACATCAAGTTTTCGCACTGGGTGCCCATGGAAACTTCATCTCGCCGAAAGATTACAAGCTAACTAGTGTTAAGTCGTCGAGGTAAGATTCTATTCGTTGTCAAGCAATATCATGACTTAGGTACCTCTGCACAGTGCCAGATGTAATTCCAAAGAGTGGACTTTGCGACACTGGCATCGTCTATTTTGATGATCCCACCTGTAGTTCCAATGATATTAACCGCATATCGCAGATGTTTATTTCAGATACTGCGGGAGAAGAACTCCGATGAGCAAGAATTGATGCCCAAACGTTCATCACACGTACGCCGCAAACATGGTCCCATACAATGCTCACCGGAGCTTCCCTGCGTTGCTCTCCTTCTCGATCTCAATGTGGACCCGAAGCTTCGCATTACATTTCCTAAGGAGTTAAAACATTCCAAAATCGACCAATGTCTGCGAATCTACGTGGCACCACATTTGCATTCTTACAAAGTTGCGGAACTGCTGCGTGGGCTTGTCTTGCGACAGGAAGAAGCACCATCGCAGATCACTTTTAAACATCTACATGGACTTGTCAATTTGGGAGCACTGCTATGTTACGCCACTCGCGGCGGGAGGCACAAGATTCGTAACCATAATGAAGTGAGAAACCAGACTCGAGGGAAGAATTCCGCATTGCGTGGTCCCACAATATGTGGATATCATTCGTTGATTGAGCGTGGGTCAGTACTAGTCATCCAGGAAACTCAGTCTAGAAATCCTGACAGCAATGCCTCTGGCGCCAGTCCAAGGAGCTTTCGACGTGGATCACCAGTTACTGTCACAAGTCTAGGAAGTGATTAATTGATTCCAGACACGCCGTGACGCAGCGCGTAAATGTGTAAATATACTAGTACATACTTCGCTGATCAATGACTCTTTAAAATTATCCGCCAATCCGAAAATGCCAGCGTAATATTGCAAACTGAACGCTCTGGCTGTGATCACCGCAAGGGCTAGCCTGTTAGAGCAGTTCACTGCATGAATATAGGCTGGTAGTTGTTGTACAAGTGAAAAAGCTCGGTGCGCGTGCTAGTACATGTCAACATGATGTAATCTTATCATGTGCATGATCAATTAGGTCAACACTAAACGCGTTGCTGCCCGCGTGTTTGATCCCAATTTTTCTACTAAAGCTCGCGTGTAGCCTTTGTAAACGACTTTCACGACCATTTATCCTTTGTCTCTTTTTCTTCATACTTCATAATATACCTGCCCGAGGTCTGTATTTTATTAGATTGATTTTAACTTGAAAAAAACGCTAATCTGATCAATATCATGGATGATGCACAGATGGATCTTCAATCACTTGCGAATTTGTTCGCGACAACTTACAATCCTGATCCTAATGTACAGAAGACCGGCGAACTCCAAATACGCAAGGTGATGTCTTGTTTCATTAGACCTGCAATCATCGCGCTAATCGCCACTGCAGATCGGTGCACAGGAGGGCATGCTTACTGCCCTTTTGCAGATCATCGCATCTGACGGCGTTGAATTGTATGTCTACGCTTAAGCTTCACGATACTCATTATAATAATTTTATGACAGAGCCACTCGCCAAGCTTGTAGTGTTTACCTCAAGAATCGCGTCCGTACCTCCTACATCCTTCCACCAACTCCGCGCCCAGACCACGTCCCAATTGCTCAATCCGACCGCACCGCACTAAAAGCCAACATTCTTCCCCTTCTTTCTGCTAGTCCAAGCCGTTCCGTCACCGTCCAGGTCGCAGCAACCCTCAAGGACCTTGTGGCAAATGACTTCCCCGATCGCTGGCCATCTCTTTTGGATGACGTGAAAAGGCTCTTGGGAAGCGGAGACGTGAGAGAAGTAGGAGCGGGTGTCGTAGCTGCCCTAGAATGCGTTAGAGCGTTCAGGTATGTATTTCATTGTGTTATCATTCAGATTTATCTAATAAACGCGTAGATTCCGCCAGAAAGCCGACGTCCTGCCAGGCATTATTGCCACCCTCTTCCCTACGCTCGTCACTATCGCTGATGGCATGCTCAATACCTCCCCATCCCAACCTGCGTCCCAGGAGATCCCTGCCATGCTGCACCTCATTCTCAAGACGTACAAAACTGCAATTATCGTTAACCTTTCTCCACACCAGCAGAGCCAAGAATCACTCGTTCCCTGGGGAAGACTCTTGTTCCGCGTCGTGGAGATGATTGTCCCCGTTGAAGGCGTTCCAACTAACGAGGAAGATCGGGAGAGATGCGAATGGTGGAAGGCCAAGAAATGGGCGTATGGAATCCTTGGTCGACTGTTCCATCGGTGTGTATTTTCTTTGAATGTTCTATGCGTCTCTAAGAGCATCGTAGCTTCGGCAATCCCTCTCAGCTCCCGTCACCAATGCAAAAGGAGTATGGCGTATTTGCACAGAACTTCGTGACTGCCTTTGCTCCCGAAATCTTCAAGGTGTACCTCCACCAAGTCGAGCTATACGTCTCAGGACAGGCGTGGTTGGGCAAGAAATGCCAATACCAAATCTTCCAGTTTTTCACAGAATGGTTCGCATTGACCTTCGATCCCTCGGATTATGCTGATGCGTTTATCCATAGTATCAAGCCGAAGTCGACGTGGATACTCCTGAAACCCCATGTCGACAACCTCGTGGCTAACTTTGCATTCCCCCAGCTCACTTTCAATGCGTCCAAACAAGCCATGTGGGAGGCAGATCCCGTAGAATACGTCCGTGCTAGTGTCGGTGAGTTTACCTAGTCACTCTCTCCTGTTATCCGTGTCAGTGTCTCACATGCCAAAGACGAGTACGAGAACTTCTCGTCCCCCGTAAGTGGCGCCACCTCGTTCCTTCTCTCCCTCGCAAGCAACCGCACAAAAACGTCCTTCCTCCCGATGCTCCAGTTCATTAACACGGTATTGCGCTCGTGCGTCCCTGTTACATCTACTACATCCATCAACTCACAAGAATACGATATAGTAATCCCACGCCGGCTCAGCGCTTCGGCGCCCTTACGATGATGTCAGTCCTAGGCCCCTTCATCGTCCGCCATCCCGATGTCAAGGGAAGCATCGAGCAGTTCATGGTACAGTACGTCCTGCCCGAGTTCACATCGCAGGAGCCGTACTTGCGGAGTGTCGTATGTCTATTTATCTTCATCAACTTTCTTGAACTGATGCGGTTCAGGCATGTGAGGTGCTTGGTGTAGTGACCAAGGCCGGTATCACATGGGCTACCGAAGAGGTAGACATATCTACTATAAGTGTTGTTTTCGTGCTAACGTCAATCCTGCGTAGAACTTGAACAACCACTCCCGTGCTGTGGCGTTGGCCCTGGATGATCAGGAACTCCCGGTACGCGTGCAAGCTGCGTTGGCCATCACTGAGCTGGTTGTCATCCACGATTCTGGTGCGTTGGAAATCATTTATTGCTCTTATGCTGTGTCCAAGCTAACTTGGGTTCTTTAGTCAGGGACGCCGTCTCTCCGCAAGTAGGCAAGGTCGTGCAAGGTACGTCTCGTGTCTAACCCACTGATGCACTCATTTATCTCGATGGTGGCTATCACAGATCTCCTCAAGCTTTCCGATGAGACGGACCTCGATATCCTGAATCACAGCATGGAAGCTATGGTGGACCGGTTCCAAAACGAGCTTATGCCCGTGGCTTCGCAGCTCACTGCACGCCTGGTGAGCGCCTTGTCCTCTAGTTACTACTATAATACGCTGACGGCATGTATGTAGTGCGAGTCTTACTTACGCCTTGCAAGAGAGGGTCTGGCACAGCAGAACGAAACACTCCCGGATGGCATCGATGTAGAATCACTCGTGTCGGATGGCGACGACGATAAAGTATATGGCGCCATGGGGGTCGCCAAAACTATTGGGACCGTGCGTGTACTCTCGCTATCATGTTCGTCCAACGCGTCTGATAAAGCTGCGTAGGTGGTTTCATGCATTGACTCATCGCCCGAGATTCTGTCGCAGGTGCAGGAGGTGATCATACCCATCATCCGGTTCACCCTTGAGAATAAGTTGATCGGTGCGTCTGTTCCTTTTTGCATGAAGAGCATCGCTGATCGTAGCGTTTGTAGATCTGTTTGATAATATGTATGATCTCGTAGATGCCCTTACCTTCCGTCTTCACGCAATATCACCGAACATGTGGCCGGTGTTCGAGTTGACTTATGACCTCTTCAAGAGCGATGCTGTTGATTTCCTTGATGGTACAGCCCACTACTTTCCGCGTATCTCTAGATTGTGTTACTCATGGAGGTGGTGATTTGCAGAAATGCTCCCCTCGCTGGACAACTTCGTGTCGTATGGTACCGATGTGCTGAAGGCACGCCCTGACTATAGGTCAAAGGTGTTGGACATGTACCGCACGGCTATGACAAGCCCACAGCTGGGTGATAACGACAAGATTAACGGATGCAAGCTGGCAGAGTCGATGCTTCTTAACTTGCACGGCCATGTGGACGACGTAAGTCTTTGTATTCATAATTCTCATCCAAGACACCTTCTCATCGTGCTTCTGCAGCAACTCCAAGACATAGTCACTATCGCCGCAGAACACATCGACGAAGGTGAGACTGCCTCATTCCGCCTTGCCAACCTCGAGATTCTCGTCAACACCGTCCTCTACAACGCCTCTGCGGCGCTTCATTTCATGGAGGTCTACAAGCCAGGGTTTTCACGCACGTTTTTCGAGCGCTGGTTCGCGGCAATCAACAGCGACAATAAGCTCCCACGCGTGCATGACAAGAAACTGAGCATTTTGGCGCTGTGTAAGTTGTTGGAGATGGAGGCTGGCGCGATTCCGGAGGGATTGAGGGATGGATGGCCTGGGATTGTGGGCGGCGCTTTGAATATTTTCAAGGGGCTGCCTCAGGCTGTTGCGAGTGGGTTGCAGATTGTTAGCATGACTGGTAACCTGACTGATGGTGTGATCTTGTAGAACGCAAGGTGTTGGAGGATCAGCTGGTTGAAGGGGACGATGATGAAGATGAGGACGACACTAAATATCTCAATCTTGAGGGAGACGAAGACGGTAAGCGTATATTGGTTTGTTGCATGTTCCGACTCCTGACACCTCTGTTTTAGAGGATGTATGGGACGAAGATTCCGCGTATCTCGAGATCCTAGCGAAAGAGGTTTGTCACAATTCCATATTTATAACCTACCGCTCACACAAATATTCTAGGGTGCTCGCCTAAGAGAAAAATCTGAGAAAGCAGAAACAGGTGGAGACGACGAGTCAGATATATCAGAAGAATCAGAGATCGAGGAAGAATTAGGGTTTTTCAGTCCGCTCGACAACATCAACCCATATGTCACCTTCAAGGAAGCATTACAGAGTGCGTCGTTCGTTCTTACTGTTTTATATTGTTCCCTACTGACAATGACCTTTCTCATAGCATTCCAGAATCAAAACAGTGCTCTATACCAGGCAGCGACGACGATGCTCACGGTTGAGCGGCAGACTGTGCTTATGGAGGTGGTGACGGTGGCGAACCAGGGTGATCATAGTTGAGGTCTTTTCTAGTTGTTGTATCGTTTCCGCCTGTTCGATGCGTTTTGACGTCTCGCACTTTGGATATTATAAGACGATTGACTGTTTGCTTGCTGTGGTCTACAATAGGTTATCGACGTCAAGGGGACCGAGTTCCCTTTTTCCTTCATATCTTCATGGTCCGCTTTCCTTGATAAAATCACACCTTGGATTATAATGAAAGCAGTCGTTGCTTTTTGGAGGCACCCGATTTAAGACATCAAGACCACTGAAAACCTGGGGTCCTAACGCGATGTCTTTGACGGAAAGAATGCAGCATTCATGCGTCAAGCGTCAGTTAGGACGCGTAAAATGGTGTCCAAGTGCCAATATTTACAGTAAGTACTGAAATTGTCCTTGCAATAAAGTGAAATATGAGTGGAAGGTCCAGGTGCTGGGGCTGACTTAGGCGCCACCGGTGTTGGCCTGACGGCAGCAAAGATCATAGTTTTTTTTAGTCTTGAGATTTGCTAAGTGCTTGAAATAGTGCATGCAC